AAGAGTCAAGCAATGTTTTCCATAAAAAGTAAATACTCTCTAAACATAACTTACTTTGTAAACATGCCATTCATATTATACTACATAACCTCAATATTGGACTATTTCTCAAGACAGAATCACTTCTTAGCAATCTGCCTGAGCAAAAAATTTTCTCCTGTTTTTCTCAAACAATTTAAGTAACTCAGTAGAGTAGACAAAGAGTTAAACAAAACTCCCTTTATTTCTGGAATGGGACAATGACTAATAGAACTAGAACTATTTTTAAATATAGATATCAAAACAGCTATGGTCTTGCCTTTCTTTGGACAAAATCTGTGCACAGTGCAATGATTTGTGTTATTAATGAACACAGGGATCTTTCTTTGCCTCTGTAAAGACCACCACTGTGTCATTTAAACATTTCCTTTTGAGAAACAATGCCATAGGAAATTTGCCTCTTTACACTGATAACAGAATTGATTTCTAAATATAATTTAGAGTATTTTTAAGTCTCAAAACTTTACCTGTTAACTCCTTCAGTGTCATAACTGGTAAGACAACAAAGACCACATGCTGCAGGACTGGCACGCAATTGCCAAGGAATCCAGGCTTTTCATTTCAGACAACACTTCTGTCCTCACAGAAAGTGTTTTTCTTCCCATAATTCATGTTTAGAAATTTCATGTCACTGAACCATGGCACGCTTACATGGGAATTTCCCACACGATCTCTAAAAGATTTTAATCATATTAACATACTGTGACATCATCTTCATTTAACTAGTTATAAATGATAAGTATTATCTCAAGTTAATAGCATAGAAGTTCGTATCTTCCACATGTTGTTTGGCAATGTGAGTTTTGGTAAAGATCACCATGTTAGTGAGGATAAGTATGTCCCAAACAATTAGTACAGTGATTTCAGGATTGTTACATACTTCAGGAAAGAAAGTCAGCTTTATGGCATCTCTACATGTAAAATGTACCATCCACATTCAATTACCTCACTTTGGGGTGGCTAGCATTCCAGTGAAAACGTGTTATTCAGAAGCTTTTGGTACTGAAGGAAAAGTAGGATTGCTAGAAAGAATGTGTAATGAAGATGTGAGCCCTCCTTGAATTCACTACAATCTTTCTCAAACTCATCGTCAATATTCTGGTCTGGAGAAATGAGAATGGGCAAGGCCAGACTTTGAGCAAGCAACAATCATCTGCTTAGGGTATTATTCAATAGAACATATGAGCCTGTCTAACAACTCCCATATGTCAAGAATGGCTGTCCCACCTCTTCTTCCTTCTCTTCCCATTTAACGTTCCACCCCCCTAAACTAGCCTGTTCCACCCATTCCTTTGTGCTGGCTCTGATACTCAGGGTGATTCAGTTTGTCCAAACGGAAAGAATGTGTTGGGTTTTTTTTCTTGTTTACATTAGTTTTATGCTGGTTTAGTGAATTCAATCAGCTCAGCGAACAGCCTGAGTGGAAGACCTGGTATGAGAGATTGAAAGGATGTACGTGGGAGCAGAACCAGCCTCAAGCGGCAGCAGTGAGCCATTAGTACAGCTGTATTCATGAACTGTACTTTCTGAAACAATTAATTAAATAGCTCATAAAATTCTCTTGATAAAATAATTAACGTATTTCCAGAAAGATCAATGGGATCTTGGATTTTAGGCTTTCATTTTCTTTCAATTCTCTTACTCTTGAAGTTTAAAATTTGTACAAGTTCTTTGAGATGAGCTACAGAGTCAGAGCATTTATCCAGAGACGTATCAACATCGATTTACTGGGAAACTAAAAAAGAAAACAAACCCCTCCATAAAATCCAGTTCTTTGGAATCCATTCTTGGGCCAATGCAAACTTGGAGTCAAACTTGATCACCACCCCTAACTACAAAGCCAATCAGCAATAAGGATTTCCTAATGGCAAAATGGGAAGGTGAAGCAAGGGCTTTTTCTCTTTCCAAATATATCACAACTCAGGCTTCCCTCTGTAAAGGGACTCTTTTTCAAGAGATTTAACTCACAGGACTAATACATTTCCTCCATGACATATTTCAACACTACTTTTCTAGAACTGTGTATGAACAACTCATGTTTTTCAAGAGTTCAAACTGGCCACTGCTCCAATCACAGCCTCAACCTTTTCACAGTTTGAAATCATAATTAGTTTTCTGAATGTCTGAAAGGAAAGATGCAATCCATTGGCTACAGGTGCAAGTGTGGAAACAGATTTCCATAAGACAACCTCCTAGCACCAGATCCAGAAGAGCATTTCAGGACAGTACATGAAAGATTACCTTTTAAGTACAGTAAAACTGTACATCCAATGCCTATCTCAAATAGAATTCAGCAGGGACTTAGAAACTAGATGTCCCAAGATATGATACATGCTATGACACATGATATCCTACACGTACATGTTGTACAACAACACTGAATAAAGCATAGAGCGTTTTGTCACTTAATACCTAAGCAGTCAGAAGATGACAACCAGCCTGCCTATGAAAACTCAGCCATCAAAGCATTTTTCCAAGACTAGGGAGAACTCAGAAGCCTGAAAGGTTTCAAACTCCTCATCGCCTAATTAATGGTATGACTAAGGTATTGAACATTTTGACTGTTTTGCTGAAGCTGAAATACAATTTTGGCAGGGCCAAACATTCCAAAGGTGTACAGCCAGACCTGATGGCAATTCTTTCCAAATACACAAATGTATCCACACCTCTTTCCCAGCACTGTTTATATTCAAAGACTCTTTCAAGAAAACACATTGTATAGGATGGCAAGCACAACTATAAAATTCTTCCTAGGAGCATTGAAAGAGAACATTATTTCAAACACAAAGGAAAATACATGGGAAAAATATACGTGAAGATTCTATTAAGAGATTGCTAAATCAGTAAAAGACAGTACTCAAATGAACACGCAACTGGAAGATTATAATACGTATTAAACTTACAGCTATATGCTGCATACCTGCAAGATATGAACTGTAATATGCTCCTGTTTTCAGATGCATATTTGGAGGGAAGGTGTCACTGCATTCTTTTCAAAAGGCTGACTTCTATGTAATCTAAATACTGTTAGCTTTTATCTTTTTATTTGCCCTGAAATGTATACATTGCAGTAGCAGCAGAGTATGCAATACGCAGCATTTTAATGCTGTAAAGAATCATATACAAGAGACATCAAAATGATCTTGTACAGAAAAAAGCAATACAAAACCTCAGAATTTTGAATAAGCCAAGGCAACACCCTTGTACAAACCAGTGCACTCCTCTTCCTGTCATTGAGGACCAATGACAAAATGCCTGCATAAAGACATTTTTCAGGTATAAACAGATCAGCAACATATAATTGATCAAACAAGAATTGACATCTGTTTAGTATTTCCCTAAAGAGGTCTATAACAGTCTAAATACAAACATTTTTATAAACAGGATATGCATAATAAACTTTACAACAGCCCCTCTTGGTTTGCACAGTGTACTGTAGGATCCAACTGACTTCCAGAATTGGGCTTTGGAAGCTGAGTAGAGCTGAGGGCCGAATTTACAGTCGTTTCTCACAGACTTGCAAAAGACCCTGTGGCAATTCTTACTATCTCTGTTCTCCTGTGTCACTAGTTTTCTAGGACTATTTGGTCAATCAAATAATCTCTAGAATAAAACCAGAGTATGTAGAAAATATCTAAGGGTTTTAATCTTCATTACCCAGGTAATGTGCTATACTGTCGTTGATGACTGGTCTCCTGGTTTTCCCAGTCAGGTGTGGCTGGAAGAAACCTGGTAAAATCAGAACTCAGAGAAGCAGAATGAAATTGAACAAATAGCTGTAATGTTTTCAGAATCTGCCATATTTTTCTGGAGACAAATCTACTTTATAAGTCCTTCATAACTTGTGTATTCTTCTCAAAAACATCAGAAAAAAATAATTGTATCTATCTGACACGGGATTTTTTGCTTTGAAGGTACCCTAACTGATCCGACATCTTTCTGTCTTCCAGACTGAAGGATCTTTAACTACACAAGAAGGATACGTTCACGTTACAGGTAATCTAGAAAGCTGGTGGGGTTTAGGGCATTAAATTCAAGCACATTTCAAGCTCCTTTCAGCTGGCTGCCTAGCTATCATGTACAGGCCCTAGGACAACAAAGCTAGGTTGAAAAAAAAAATATTTATTGAAAAAAATAAGCACATAGAAGCATTGGTTTCCAGCTTTTTTCTGTCTGTAATTTGTTATTGATTTCAAATTACACAGATTCATAACCTGCAAGCCCTTGTCAGAGAAAAGAGCCCTCATCAAATAAAAGTCGCATACAAATGTGCTTGCATTAAAATACAGAGGTGAACTTCTCTCAATAGCAATAATATATGAATGACTGGGATTTGGGTAAAGCCATTGTCAGGACTGAAAACTTATCTGTTACTCCAGATTAGACTAAGAAGTGTTTAATTGGAAGTGTTCAAGGGATAGAACAAGTGTTTTGGGAGTATCCTGATGAGTGCATTTTATATATTGCTAATAAAGTACTTCCCAATTTTCTAGATACAAGCAATGCACATAAGCCCATGTATCCCATTATAAAATATACTTTTTCATTAAGAAAGAATAAACTAAATCCAATTCCAAGTTCTGGTAAAATTTGCTACAAAAATTACACTTCAAAGCCTGAAGCATATGATGATACTATTTTTTAAACTCAACTGAAAACTTTGATATGGCATTAATGTCTGATGAATTAATATTTTAGTAGCATTTATTATAACATAATTTTATAATAATACAAATATATTTTAAAGAGGATTTTTAGTATTCTTCATCTTCATCTTCATATAGTAATTAAACCTCAATATTCATAAGAGACCATTTTTCAGGACCACAGACTGTAGCAGTGAGTGAAGTAAATAGTTCAATACCTTTATCTGCTGTTTCATATTCACTGATTCTTGTGTTTGGGTTTTTTTTTGTTTATTTACTTTCCTTTTCAAGATTGGCTGTCCTGATTAAGAAGATATGAAAGAATACACGCTCCTTCTCTTCTTGGCTTTGTGCTCTGCCAAATCTCTCACTGGTCCTTCATATCTTTCACTAAAGAATATGATGCTCCAAGATATGGAAGATGATGATGATGATGATGACTACGATGACAATTCTCTATTTCCAACCACTGAACCAATTATACCACTAATTCCTTTTGATCTATTCCCAGTATGTCCCTTTGGATGCCAGTGCTATGTGAGAGTGGTCCATTGTTCTGACCTAGGTAAGAATGAGTTTGTGCGTCTGTTCTCCACTGGACTCTCCTTTGGAGGATTTGCCTTTTAAAAGATTAATTCTACAGCTCCCATACATTGCACACATTCACATATTCCTATACTTGTCATTTTCAAAAGGAGTGTACGTGTTTTTCAGTTAGGCTTACAAACTGTATGTAATTCATGTCCAGCAACTAATTTGTGTCCAGCACTTTTTACAACACGTTTCCCCAGTTTATGTGCATCAGTTTAGAAAATTAATAAACTGCTATAGCCACCTTCCATTAGCAATGACTTCCACTGATAACAGCATAGAATGGAAAGGCATTTATAATATGTAACAAATAACTGTAAAGCTATTTAACTGAATAGTTTATCCACTAAGAGAACAATCATAGAATGCAAAAATGCGTATATTTACATTTTAGATTACACTTTCTCCTGTTTTGTTTACTTCCACGAAGTTATAGCCAAACAGAAGAGCACAAATGTTTGCTGTATCTTCTGTTTGCATTAGACAAGCTCTTAGTCCCCTCTCTCAAAAAAGACTAGGGCTAAAGCAGTACTTAATTTGCAATGGCAAAGCAACAGGTCAAATGACAAGAAAACATAACAAAGGAAAAAGAGGCCATAAATAAACCACAAAGAAATTTAATGTGAGCACATAAATGGGATACAAACTATTTGCTCAGCTTATCTTCCAGTAAAGTGTGCTTCACTGGTAACATTTTAACTGATGACAAATCTGCTACTGTCACTGTTGCACATACACGCTAGTCCCTAAATACGAATTCAATATTTATCTCTCCAATTTGAATTAGTGTTCATTGAAGTTTTCCCATGATTCAAGGTAATCAAAGGACTATGCTCCTGCCACTAGCACAGTGATGACAACATTCATTCTCATCACAGCACTGCCACCATCCTAAACTTAATCCTAGACTCCTCATGTCTTAGAAACATTGAGTCAATACATAAATTGCTGGGTTTTTTTTAAATGTGTCATTATTAAAGAATCAAAATAAGCTTTTGCTGATAGCAATAAGCTGTGGTTTTAGCATCTGGCTTACAGATTGCAAACCCCTTAAGTTCACACATAAGAAAAAACCCTATTAAAAAACTTAATCTTTAAATAACTGTAACCTATTAATTGTGGAATAATTGTTAACAAACTGGACCAGCATTTAGCATTTGATGCATCAGCATTTCCACTGAAAACAAGTTACTATCCCTTGTTAGCCTCTAGATCCTGATTCAGGATCTCAGATGGCATGAACTGAAGCGGTTTTGTAACTCAACAGTGAACTGGATCGGGGGATTTATACAACTGGTGATTAAGTACCTCCTGTCCACTTTTACTAGGAATACATTTCTCAGCCCTGGTGTTATCTGTATGTCTATATAAGCAACGGTGCTGGGGCAAGGGATAAGGGCAGTGTAGAGTTAGAAAGGAGCATCCAAGCACTGAGCAGAGGTCCTTTAAAGCCACTGCAACAGCCCTGCTCCTCCATACAGGAGCACAGCCCCAGATCTTCCGAGGGCTGCCTTGTCCAGGGACTTGAGCAGCTTCCCTGTAGGACAACCTGTGCTCTGAGGCTCCTTATTTCACAGACACAGCAAGCACCCCATTCAAGTCTATCACGGTCGATGGTAGAAGCATTACCTCTTGAAACTATCCACATGTTTTTGTCATACATTCTTACATAATTAGTTCCTCTCATTATCAAATATTCCCTTCTATCCTTTGCGTTGTGGCTGTTCAGATTTTCTTTCCAATCATAATAATCAACAATCTTACTGTGTTTTGCTGTTCAGTAGTTAACTTCTTTCGACTTATATATAGGAATGTAATGTTTCTGTTTATCTCACATACTTAAATAGGTTTGACATCAATACCTCGCAACATTCCACCAGATACTCGTATGATTGACCTTCAAAACAACAAAATTAAAGAGGTCAAGGAAAACGATCTCAAAGGACTCACATCACTTTATGTAAGCTTGCTATTTTCCAAGTTTGAAATCTACTTTAGCAATCTGAAATATTTTGATACTTTTAAAATACAAATGGTATTTTTCTTCTCCAACAGTATCCATAAAAATAGTCTAACACCTGCTCATTTGACTGCTCCCACATAGTAAGAAGCAAATTTCTTTGAGCTTTAAGAATTATGTTAATTTCTACAGCTTCCAGAAAATGTACTACGTGTATCTCACCAAAAAGACCCTCAATATTTATTCGGTCCTTAGCATGCACAGAAACACTCCCTACAATTTAAAAGCTGCAAGACCAGTGCTCCTTTTTTATCTGCTTAGCTGTAAAATAGAAGAAAGGACTTAATCTCACAGGAGAACTAGAATGTTATTTTCTGAGGGTATTTTCAAAAGCATACAGCATACAACTGACACATATGCCACTGAAACTAATGTTACAAATCTAATTGACTTGAACAGAAAACAGACCAACACTGAATAACTGAAAGTCATGTGCTTCATTACTATTTTATAACATGCTCAAGTACGCACGTAGAGACAGGCTTTAAAATAAGTATCACTGGCAACTGATAAATCTAGATATTTACAGTACCCCATAATCCCTTTTTATCATGAGTCTCAGAGGCCTGGAAAAGTAGATTAAATCTGTTTTGGAATACTTATTTCCATAACATGCCACTCTAGATCCAGTGCTAACAAATACTGACAATTTTAAAAATGTCATGTAAAAATGACAAATCTGTTCCAAAAGTTATAGCAAATTACCAACACATCCTATTCCACATTAGAAAGACATGAAGCACACATTAAACTAACATAAAACAAATCCTCTTCAGTCATTTACCGGATCTAAGAGTTTATGAATGAGCTTGTTAATTATTATGGGTTAAGCTAGCCTGAGTACAGAATGGTCTTACAAGCAGGTTAGGGGTAAGCACACTAACTCTGGTTTATATTCCGTATAAAAGATCTTACAGAAACTAACCTCCAATGACCAAGAAAGTCACTGGAATACATCGGCAATTGCCACATCATATATTAGAGTGACCACTTAATTACGTGATAACTGAAAACTCTTGAGCTGTTTTGATTTATCTCATTAGTTAATTTGCAGCAAGGCCTAACAAAATTTTTACTGAAAAGAAAGTTTACTTTATATGGGTACTAGTCTACTTAGCAAAGGCACAGATGGCAACTTGGATTATGAAGGAGCATTTCCTGTTTATTTCCTTAAGCTACCCCCATTTTTTCTGGGAAACAAAGATTAATTCTGTTTTGCTCTACTTTTTTCTCCACAATTCCAGAGAACAGATGACTTACCAACAGCTCAAAGAAGTAAAAAGGAACAAAAATGAATGGTCTAGATATGAAAATGCAGAGATGTGATTTGACATGCAAAATAATTTCAAATAAGTCATAACACATAGTAACCAAGAACAAAAAATTGTCACAGAAAAGGCCTACTGTACTCTACAGTCAAGAGAAAGACTTAAATTCACAAGCGTTGAAAAATTATGGCACAGAAGATATAAATTCATGTGTGTGTATATAAGTTGTATACAGACATTAACTTTTAAGAAATTCAGATTTAAAACCTGACTTTTATTTTGCAGCATTATTCTGAAATTCTGAGTTTTGAGAATTTGCCTGCATTAAGGAACAACAACAATAAAAAAGAATGTAACCTCCATACAATCCCACAAAATATATGAAGACAAACATATTGTTTTGCCAATTCTTCTCATTATCATTGGTACCTTGTCAGCTATGACTAGTTTTTCTCTACCTTCTTGTGGATGCTCCAGCTTCCAGGTTCTTTTTTGCTTTTCACAATCAAGTAAAATGCCCATAAGATACATAAATTGCCAAAAGTTTGGTATGATGGAAAAAGAAAATATTTTAAGTACTTCATTGTTAAATTAGATATCAAATCCATTACTTAAAATTCATAAGCATAATGTTCTATATAGAGAAATTTTCTTCACCTTGCTGTTCCCATATTTCATAGGCACTGGCTTTGAACAACAATAAAATATCCAAGATCCATCCAAAAGCCTTTCAACCAACAAAGAAGCTACGACGATTGTATTTGTCCCATAACCAGCTAACTGAGATTCCAACAAATCTACCAAAAACTTTAGCAGAGCTCAGAATTCATGCAAATAAGGTGAAGAAAATCCACAAGGACGTATTTAAAGGAATGAAGTCTCTACATGTTTTAGGTAAGTCCTATCAAGTAGAAGAGAAAATGTCTTTAGCAAAAATGTAACATACTCTATATGATTTTCATTCAAACGTTTTCTCAATGTGCAATTTCCTCTAAAGAGATACCTATGCTGTGGAAATGATTTTTCACAATTTCATTTCTATGTGAGGTTGCTACATAGGTCAGGTTTCGGGTAACCCTGCAAGCCAAGTTAGACAGTCTTTATTCACTGAAAGCTGTGACTTCCACCCCTCAGAATAGGTAATCAAAGCTAAACAAAAATTAATGCTTAGAACATCAGAAGTCATAAACAGACTAAGTTATAAACAGCTGATTTCACTGAACATATACAAAATTCCTATGCCATGAATACTTTTTTTTCCCCCCCTGGACAGAAATGAGTGCAAATCCTCTAAACAATGATGGAATAGAGCCAGGGGCTTTTGAAGGAGTAAATATCTATCATATAAGAATCGCAGAAGCTAAACTAACTTCAATTCCTAAAGGTATGCTTTGTTTTACCTTTTCTATCTTACCTATACCAGTATACTCCTAAATAAAATGCTTTAACTTCTATATGATTATAAAAATGTTCATAAATTGTTTTATATTGTTCATTACTACTAAACCACCTCCTACATTATTTTTCTTTTTGTACTTAGTATCCAACTCTACATCTCAAAAGCGTGCATGCGCGTGCACACACGCTCACTCTCCAGCCCCCTCCCTGCCTTCTCCTTGCCAGGCAGCCCAGGGTCATCCAGAGACTCTTCTCAGGAGCAACAGCGTGAATAAAATGATAATAAGATGTCACTTCACATCCTTCCCATCGGCCTCCCAAAAATTCTTACAAATGACAAACCCCCTGATATTTGATCTGGTTCATAAGGGTTACAGAATTCCCACTTCCTTTATGCATTTAAAATTAATCATATAAAACAATTAACTTGTGATTTGGAGGTAGAAATAAATTAAAACACCAAATTTATAAATCACTGACCTCCACAAAGACAAAAGTAGTACAGAAGAACTCAGTACAACGCTCTACCTGCATTTTCTGTGGTATTTTACGTGGTATTTTACTGAATTCTCATGGTTTTCAACGGCTCAAAACTGCGAGCTAATAGAAAAAGAGGGGAAACAAAGCAAAATATGATATGTTGTATCATTAATTAACTTACAGGGAAACTAAATGTTGGCCCCGCAATATTTATTTCTGGATCATTCAGATAAAGAACTTGTTTCTTATTAAATTTAATCTGTTCTTGTAGACAGATACATATGCCAAAGCATCCTTGTAGAAGAGAACACTAAAAAAAGACCCAACAACAAACAAAACCAACTCACCTCAATTGTTCAGATAATTTTAAGATCAGAAATATCTGTCTGCCTATGGTGACACACCCTGACACAAAAAGACAGACTTTCTTCTAGTATTATCATAACACCATCTCCTGTCATTTAGCACAAAAAACCATGCCTACAATGATTCAGATTTTGTCTTTGTTACAGAGAAATCTCCTATAAGGAAACACAGCATGAGATCCAATATGTGGTGTCAAATACATGAACAAATCATAAACAAACAGGATTTCATGGTGAACACATTCTACACTAATGGAAACTAAGTTTCTACATCCTTCTATCTGCAAATGTTATAATGACAAGAAAAGATTTTTTAAAAGATCTAACTTACAAAATGCACTTAAAATCTAAAATGGACACATGGGTAGTCTTCCCTCTTAACACTGTTACTCAGACACAAGCAGCACCCGGGGGGGAGTTGTAAACTGGAGTGTAAACTGGAAAGAAGCCCAAATACACAAACACCAAAGCATGTCAACTGGCATAAAGACAGACTGTAAAGCACACCACTGTAAGTAAGTACATTTACAGTACATTACAGTAAGTAATGCTACAACAAATCACAATGGCCATGGGAGCAGTACTCTCCTAAGCCATATTTAGCAACAGAAGTACGTGGTTTGTCTCGCTTGGTGTCAGGGTGCCACCTAGACAGATGCTAGTAAAACTGAACATAAGATCAGCAAATAGAGATTCAAACTTGTGACTATCTTTCTCTGCCCTCACTAAAAGGGTACTGTAAAAAAGATTCTCCATCTCCTGGTCCACTCACCAACAGTTCTGAGGATTTTATTTTTTAAAAAAAGTAACCCACTTTTATCTAATACCCATTTCTTTGATGCAGACAACTCCCCACCCTCACCCCCGCAACCCCCCACCCCCAAGATTCTTCACCCAATCCTAAACACAAAGGAAAGAAGCTGTTTGGAACATAATGTGTATTCCAACAAAAATAAATTGGCTTATTTTTCTCATACTGTGCATTTGTTTTTCATCAGAATTGCCCTCCAGCCTACTAGAACTTCACTTAGATGACAATAAGATCACAACGATCGAACTTGAAGATTTTAACCGGTATAAAGACCTTCAAAGGTAAAATTCTCACGCAGAATGCTTTTATTTGATAAAAGGTCAGACCTGGCAGGATCTCTTATTTGATGCTTCTCTTGCTAATGGGAGAAAAGGCAATTAAAAATTTTAAGTTTTAGTAAGAAATGCTGTAAATAAGACCAAACTATAAAAAAAACCCAAAACGAACACTAGCCTTGTTATTACATGTCTTGCCTACAGTTCACAACAGAAGTGTATGTTAAGACCAGCATCCAATTACAAAATGTAACCATCATAAATTTCTACCTCATGACACCTGGGTGTTGTATAATATAGCATGGCTTTTATATAATATCTCGTAATGTGCTAGTAGTAATATGTCTCAATTAAGCATTGCACATATTTCTCATACTTGGAATACATGAACCTTTGCAGCCACATTATTTATCAACAGTATTCAGTATTTTTCTCTAGCCTGTTAACCATCAGGCCCAGGCATTTTAACTCCTTGGTCACTCATCTCACAAATCACCCCCCAAAATGAATTATACAGAAACACCAACTGATTTTTGGTTTAGGAACAGATTGCCTTTCTTGCAACTAAATTTCTAGGATTTAAGAGTCATAACAGCTTTTTAATTCCAGAGAAGGCCTAAGCATACTGGAAGGAGACACTTCATACATGCCACAAAGAAAAATATAAAAGGATGGCAGAAAAAGGGAAATTTAAGTCTTGTTTATACAAACACATGGGAAAACTGGTAAATTATAAGAGAAGATACATTCACCTCCCGAAAACTAGCCTGAGAGAAATACAGTAGCTGGTAAAGGAAACAACTTGTTAACTGTTTCCAAATGTGATGGGGTTTAAGAAAAAGAAAACGTGCATGTTTCTGAGGCATTATCACTGATGTAGGACAAAAGAAGGAAGTTCTTTCTGTAAAGCTCAGTTAACTACTCTGAAAATATGGCTGAGAAGCACTGAATTTTGGATTTGGTAATAGAAACTAGTATCAAAGAGGAACTACTGAACCAACTTCAGTTTCTGAAGAAATCAAGAAAGAAAGGAGAAAAAGGGAATTGCAGGATGCGTGGAAAGAGCAATTCCAACCTGACCTGTTTCTTTACAAGACTTGCACTTCTTTGGCTATTTATTAGAACAACACTTTTTATTACTGTGAGTATACTTTGTAGCTATACTACTTTATTTATTTTACAAGCAGATTGGTTGATGTTTACCATTTTAACTCTTGCCACTTAATGTAGAAAAACTGCATGCAAAACTGGGCAATTGCTCACATCAGGCTAGCTATTGTCCTTTAAGTGGACACTAAATTAAGAAGAAAAAAATTTTTTTATATCAATGGTGGGTTTTTTTTCTATCAGAGTCCTGTGTATTTCAATCTTTAAAAAACCAACCAACCAACCAATGATCTTCAATGCTGCTGTGAATCTCAATTTTTAATCAGGTGTTTCTTGTATTATTTCTAGGCTAGGCCTTGGGAATAATAAAATCAAAGATGTGGAAAATGGAAGCTTTGCCAACATACCAAGTATACGTGAAATCCACCTTGAAAAAAATAAGCTCAAGAAAGTTCCTCCTGGATTACCTGAACTGAAATATCTTCAGGTCATATATAAAATTTAATAGAAATTAAATTTAGTAGGTGTAATTACAAGTTGTTTGACTTTCACACTGCCACACCGATTAGGATATAAATAAAAAGCATAATTAACTGTCACATATATTTTGACATGACTCTGAAATTTATTAAATCACTGAAAAATTGCATTATGGGAGAATATAATACTGCATCATTATAATTCTTACTATAAGAGAATATAAAACTGCATTTTATGATAATGTTCCATAAGAATAGAACCAAATTATTCTGACAACACACTGATAAAATACCATGTAACTTTCTTTTGTGAGTGAGAATGTGGCAGGAGGGATAAATTTTTTAAAGATTTAACACAAATTTTTAATTCCTGTCACTATTAAGGTTTGCACCCAACTGATCTTATAGCAAGCCTCACTTATCTGTATGCCAATGGATGTTTAGATATTTTTCCCATTTACATACTAACTATTATATTTTCCTGTTTCTTATTGCTGCAGGTAGTCTTCCTTCATTCTAATCATATTGCAAAACTGGGAGTGAATGATTTCTGTCCAACAGGAAGGAGAAAGAAGAAAGCATTATACAGTGGCATAAGCCTCTTCAATAATCCCGTAAAGTACCAGGAGATTCAGCCTTCAACTTTCCGTTGCATTTTAGCCAGAAACAGTGTGCAACTTGGAAATTTCCTCAAGTGATACTGAAGATGGTCATTTCAAAAAGCAACTTGTTCAAATCAGTTCTACAATACTTGAAATTTGCAGAAAAATGCTAGTTTTACACTACTTAACCAGTTTACAAAGTATTTACTATTTCAGAGATAATTAGAAACAGTATGTTAGTAGGATCTATTGTATTATTGGACAGTGTTCAACCTACGTTTGAATAATTCAAACAAAAGCCTTTGTGTCTTATGAAAGGACTCTTGGAAGTGGAACTGGAAACTGTATTTGAAGTTTCCTATTATAGATGTTAAATTCTTTACCTAAATCACATAATTTTGGCATATTCTTTCTTTCAAATAAATTCTAAAAATCAAGTGGAAGTGACTTTTTCCACAGTAAGGACCTTCTCCCTCTGCCAAAAAGTGTTGTAAATAAAGGTGCAAAAAAAAAAAATTAACAGACTTCAAGGACAACTTCTTGTGCCATTTTTGACAATCAGCAAAGATGCAATAAAAAGGTATGGTATCATGAGGTCTTTTGTCTATAAACTATAACATATTTTTATAATCTATTGAGATAAAGGAGAGTTTCATATCAAGAACTAACCTGCAAAAAACTTTTAAAAGTTTTTGGTATATTTTCTTGCAACTTTAAGAGGGAAATGTCCTTCAATGTTTTGCTATCACTATAATTTGATGCATTTTGAACATTAAAAAGTAGGATTCAAGATGTATCATATGCTTCAAGCTTAATAGGAATTATTATTAAACTCCCTTTAGGCCAGCACAAACATTTTCTTTTATCTATAACAACTGTAATCATGTTTTTCATTTAATTTTTCCTCTTATATTTTGACATCACACGGGTGTAAGAATCCCTCATTAATGTAAGTACCTTAAAATTGCTGAAGGCAAGCAGATAGCTGGAACTCAACTACCCTGACTCCTTATGTAGGTCAGTACATAGAATTCTCAATACTGACAGTACTGTATAAAATGGATATTTTATATATCTATTGAGTGTATATTTGCTATTGGGATTCAAAATAAATTAAATAAAGAATACTTGCATTTGTATACTTGATTACACATTCAGAGATTATAACTAAACACCTTTCTGACTCTTCTCTAGATATTTTCTCTATTCCTCCTTTTTCCAAATCTACATGCCTTGTGGATCATTTATCACTGCTGTTCTTCACAACATTAAAAATTCAACACTTTATTTGAAGCAGCTACAGGAAATTACACAAACTAGTAGAAGAAAATACTACATAGAAATCAAGCAATTCCCAGTCTCTCAGCCTGTCTACCACCTCCCTAAGTACACTAAGCAATAAGCATAAAGTCTAAAGTCTGATTTTTTTTATCTGCTTGGTCTCTTTGTATTTAACATTTTCTTAGTGTTGAGACCCAAAACCACATGGGGAGAGGAGGGAGAGTGGGCCAGGGGAGGCTTTTACTGAAGAACAGTTTTGGCAAACAGAAATTCTGTAAAACACTTCAAGGCAGAATAAAAACAAAACAGAACACTAAACCCACACAAAACCCAAAACAATTCTGAAGGTCACCAAGCATCTTTCTATTCCTGGTTTCTGAAGATGTTTCTAAGGCACGCATTTCCTAGCAAATAACATGAGAAAAGCAGTAATCAGTGCTGAAAATAGTAGTTAAAGAGTATATTCTTCAACAATTGATCTAGTTAATATCATGGACTTCTTTAGCTGTAGCTATGTCATCATGCATAAAGAGCTATGATGTCTAAACACAGACCGGTGTTAGAAGACAAGCGTGATGTATATAAAGGAAAAAAGGCAATACCTTCAGCAGATTTTTTTCCACTAGGAAGTTAGTTACTACACCCATAAGAAAGACAGAACTGTTCATAGAGGGAATGCATACCAGCTTTTACTGCAATTCCGCATTCCCAGTGAAGACACAATCTGAGCCTCTTTATATGTTGCACTTCAAATAAATCTAACAGTAACAAATCTGATAAAGCTACAGAGGGAAACAGCCAACTCTTTAAGCCACCTCTACAAGATTTATGTGCAGCATGGAAGAACCTTGAAAAGAGCAAGGGCAGAAATAAGTAACTGAGAACGAAACAGCCTAGTAACATAAAGAATAACACACCACATATACTAGTCATTCACCCTAGAGTAAATCATCATCAGACAAAATCTTTACATTCGTACTCAGGCAGGAACAGCTACTACTTCATGGTAACAGCTCAAGTGCACATTTATACCCTCTGGGAAATACCAACCTTCTCTTAATGATAGGCTACGTACACTGCCTTATACTACCATAAACAGCTCCTAACCCATACCACAGAGACAAAGCATTGTCCATAACAACTGTCCAAGAAGAAAGAGAAGACTTGAAATAAATGCCCATTCTTATCTAGCAACAGCTAAAAAGCTGAAGTCCTTAATGTTACACAAAAGGTTCATTGCTTATAAAGTTTGCTATTGAAAAGACAGAGGAATGGCAAATAAAGGATGAGGCAGGAAAATTTGTAGATGACTAGAGAGTAATCAAGAGCCAAAAAATATCTGAGGGACTTCTAGAGGTCAAGTAGCAACATAAAAGCAAAAAGAAGGCCAATCCTAAAGAAGGTTAAGAATGAAAAACGGAAGGAAAATTTCCAAATCTTTGATCTTTGTAGAACATTAAGTTAACAGTTTTCACCTTGAGTAAGTGGGGTAGACTTCAATCAAATCTTCAGCTGAAAGCACAAAGAGCAAGTACAATGCTAGTAAACAGAATAGAATCAGTAACAGAAAAATCATTACATTTCTATAAATCACTAGTTTAAATATCTCCTTAAACACTCATGCTATACTATTTACACCAATTCAGCAATGACAACATAAATAGAAAAGCAGATTCAAATTCTGCATCTTAACTAAAAGAATAAACTCACAGTAATACAATACATTCTTCTACACTAATTTAAGTTATAAGGATTAAAAGTAGGACAATTCAACCAACCCACTGCTAATAAACCTACTCAGCTGCAAGCAGGTCTTGAGAGCAATTACCTGTATTCTCTGTAAATCTTACTAACTGCATCTTGCGTAAGATTTCCAAACATAACAAAGGCCCACAGGTGACTAGGTAGCCACATGAAAAAATAAAATCTCTCTTGCTTTTGTTCAAACCTCCTGTGTTCCTGTGACTGACCACCAGGCACATACAGGAAAAATGGCCACTGGGCTTTTTGGTCTCCTAAGGCAAGGAGTTTTGGCTGAGGCTAGTTAATGAGCCTAATAAAGGCTCCAGAAACTGTACTCAGTCTTGGACCTCATCTGAAACTTTCCTTGGGGCCTGACTTTAGCAGGGTAGTCCTAGTCCCTGGAAAGCATGGTTAATACTTTCTACACCTAAGAATTATTTACAGGCACTCTTGTAAGAGTTTCACCAAATTTTAGGTCCACTGTTGAAGTCAATATAATGTGAAAGCTTTGGAAAAATGTAGCAGAGTCCTAAGAGGCAGAAGACTATGTAGTCTTGATCTCATCCTTCCAAAGCCTTAAAAACTCTCCTGCCTTCTCTTCTTTCCTCTTTGTTATGCATTCCGACTGAGAAACTCTTTCTACAGTCAGCATCCATGGATACATATAACATTCATAGAAAAAACTGCAACACTGTTTTGAAGATCCTACCTCCACTCACACACTTAGTAACTAAAGATTTTAGTCAACTGCTTAGCTTTTCATCTTCAAGGCAAATACAGCTAGCTTTGAAGTTTGAAAAAGTTTTTCTGTGACTGAAGCTACATTTGCAATTTTGCATTAAGGCGGGTATGTATCAAATGGCTCATTCTAACTGTAGGAGTTATTTTTACAGAAAAGACAGTAATTTCCTATGTCACGTCACATAAATTCAATGGATATCGCGTCACATAAATTCATAGGATGTCTGTCACCAATGAGAAAAAAATATGTTCAATGACCCTTCACTATTTTCAGATATCATTCTTCAGCTAGCATTTGTGGGTAATAGTAACTAATAATTTACACACCTTGTACCTCTGGCATACTTTAACATAAACCCAAGTGCATGTCACAATGACATATAGGCATTACAATATAAAATGTGCCTTATGGACAGCAATGAAACTAACAGAATAATAGTTAACTAATGATAATACACTAGTATTCAACAGTCTTTCCATAGAACAAGGCAGTTCAGTATCAGCAGATGGGGAGAAAAACTGTCAGGAAATCAATCCACCTTTACATTCTCCACAGATGTTATGGAAAAAGGAAAGAGGGAGAAAGAGATTTGATAGAAATCCTTCTAAGTCTTATGCTACTTATTCCTTGTACAAGTAACTACATTCCTCTAATAAGGAAATTAACATTTATCGCATCTAAGCTTTCCAAACTTTAATAGCCTTCTCTCTTCCAAAAAATCTGTCAGGTCCCTACAAGACGACAATTAACAAATTTCACCAGAGGATGGCAGCCTATTGTTACCAGTAGAAGAAAAAGTAATTCTAAAGAATATATTACAAATACTGTTATTGCACAGTAATAGCTCGGTAAACTTCACAAACACTGATTAAGCAGAGTAGCCTATTTGAGAACTAAAGTACTATTTGAATACTTCTGAAGACTTAGTTCTATGTCCTGCTCTATACCATTAACTTGCCAAAGAATGAAATAACCTCATCTCTCCAAGTCTTCTCCCTGCATCTTTCCCCAATATCACCCTATTTAATGCAGTACTTTAGAACACAGCAATACAAAAAATACAGAAGTTACACAACATTAGTAGACAAATAACAACAAACTTGAGATACTGAAAGAATATAAGACACTATCAAATCTTCCACCATCAGCTATGACAAGTGCATACCATGTAAATCAAAATGTACATTCAATAAACTGGGATGTCTTTCCTATCCATATTGAAAAGCCAAACAAATAAAAACAAAATTTTGAAGCATCAAACCACTTCAGTTTGAGATATGTTTGTTCTGCAAGACACCTAATAAAGAACAGTTTTGTAAAGATACCTACG